GTAATATAGTTTCTTATTCTCAGTTTAGCAATTTATCCAGAAAAAATTATTCCAATTATTTTCAAGTCTTTTACACTGGAGACTGCATAGCTGATTGTACAGGCAATCTGCCTGTGCATTAGCAACTCTGTGGACTGAGTAGAGTCCAGGATGATGTGGCATTAAGGTAGAGTCTCTGGAAATTATTTAGGTGGCGGGCAAATATCAGAGAATTATTTAGTATCAACTTTTTCTTCCCTTGATTGTTTTTCAAGATGAAGCAAAGAGGAACCTCAGCACTGCTTGAGCGGCAGTTACTCATAGAGCATTTTGGCAGTCCTTTATCAACGGCAGTTGAAGTACCAGTACTCTGCTATAAATAAGAAGTTTTGGTTAGTTGAAATATTTTAGTTGAATTGCTGTTTGTACTAACATTTTTGGTATCATGACTCATAAAGCATAAAGATCTTCAAGAATGACACAGTGCTCAGGTGAGGCTATTAAGATAATGGAGCCTAGACTGAAAGCCCAAAGTCTGGTATGCATTAGAGATTTTTCCAAAAGTGAGAAAAAAGTTAACTATGCTTGAAGCTATAGTACTCAGATTTAATAGATTTATTTACAGGCTGCAAACAAGTAGAAGGTTGATGATGGTTTTAACATAAAATGTAGGTGACAGGAAATTATTGAGAAACTGAGGCCCTTACAATACCAGGAAGCTGGAAAGGACCCCAGCGGATGAAATACTGTTTAAGCAACTGGACATTAATGCTCATGGGAAGAGACAGTTTGAGCTACTCGTACATTTCAGTGAGTTATTTGATTCAAAAAAGAGACAAATAAGAGATGACATATAGATTTATACGCTAATGATAATGGATGTTATGAAGAAAGGAAAAAAAAATCAAACACCAAAATCTAGAGAAAATCTAAGGATTTGACCATCATTGAGAAAGTCATGAGTCATAAATGGCTTTTTGCACAGGCAGAATAGCATTTATGCAGATGATTAATTAGATGATACGAGCTCCCTCTTCCAGTCTGATACAATAATAACTTCTTAATGATACCCTCTGTAATCAGATAGACTGATGCCCTCCTCTTTCAAATCATGCTGTAATCAAATGCTGTCCATCAAAATAGTCCCCTGCTGTGGTCATTTCAGCATCAAGGCTTTAGAAATTGAGGGTATAAACTAATCTCACTGTTAAAAAAAGAAGACTAATTAGAGTTAAGGATATCCCTTTGCAATATATAAGGATTTTGTCAAATAAATTCATTTATCTATACTTAGGAAATGTAGTATCCATGAACTCTTGTTTTTAGAAAGTAATTTTTTTTTCCACAAAGAGAAAATAATTAACAAATTTTAACTTTTCTCAAGCTTCTTGTTAGCAGAACTGAATAATTATTCCAAAACAACTAAAGATGTCTTCTATGTTGTTACTTAGCGCATGGAGAGAACCATGTAGGCATGAAAGATCTATTTTTTCTCTTGTGCTTTTACTAAAGTAAAAGCAGAAAAAAGAAACAATACACTTTTAATCCAGGTCTTTGTCCTATGCAATAGCTAAAAAAAATTAAAAGTTGTTTTAAAAGGCCAAATAGCATAATAATCAAGCAAGGCAAAAATAACAAAATTACATTGGCTATACTGGTTAACAACATGTTAGATTGGCAGACTGGAATATATAAATAGTGCAGTGGAGAAATCTAAGCTGATCTTTTTTACTTTTCTCTGTAATTTTGTTTATTTGTAATGAAAAAGTGTATTTGAGGAAATAGAATGTCTGTTTTGGCAGAGTCTATTTAAAATGGGTATTACCTTAAAAGTTTTATTTTTTTTAATAAATCTTAACAATTAAAGAAGTCTTCTTCAATGTCTTGTAGGTAGTTTAGGTTCTGAAAGTACTTAAATATACACTATGGTCCTAACGAATTCCAGTTTAAGCAAACAGTTAAGTGCCTCACATAAATGGAATGCTGTTTGCACTGAATAAACTATGGTGGGGAAGAATGATCCTGTGCCCACCTTCTACCAATCCAGATGCATAGTTTCAGTAGCTATGAGATTCTTATGTGCTGCTGGCTCACAGTAAATGCTGCTAATGAAAAAAAAAAAAATCCTGATGTGGGTATCCAGCAACTCTTGAACTTGTAGTCCTGCTGATAAAGCTAGGTATGACGAAAACAGAGCAGCAAGCAATTCAGAGAAAAGAGTAGCATCTATCAGATAGATATTTGCAGATGTTAATTGTTGGCACCAGATGGGGTAAGGTGGGTAACTGACAGAGTAGGACCTCTGCCTCCTTGTGTGCCTTGCTGATTAAAGCATTCCAACATAACAAGAAAATTACATTGCACGAGGCATAGTTCTGACACCAAGTACGTGTCCCTGGCCAAGTGACATGTGGGAGATGGACTGTTACTGTGTGAAGGCTACGTCTACACCGATAAGTGGACAGAATGTAAAGGCATGCCAAAACCTATGGATCGTGCTTTCCACCTCTACCGCCAGCTGTATTTTAGTGTCAAAGCCTCTCCACTGTGTTAAAGAAAATTCAAACTCAGGATGAGTTTCTTGATAGTTTAAAGCATATCTAGTGTTACTTGTGCTGATTTCACCCTGAAGAGATGGAATTTGCTTGTATTATACACCTTCAACATATTCCAGAGCTCACACGGACACAGTATCTAAGCATGGGATTGACACCGAGAATGCGTAATATTAGGAAGTCTTGTCTTAAGAGTGAGGTGGAACCCTGTTGACATACTTTGAATTCACAATCTACCTTCTGATCTATTTAAGGGACACTGAAGAATATGTTGCTTCTTGCATGGTGTAGAGATACAAATACATCTGTAATAGAATGGTTCCAACACCCCACTAAGAACAAATGTCAGCTTTTCTTAAGATTGCTCTTTTCCTTAAGGGACCGTAAATATTTAAGCTTGATCTCCCTTGCGAAAGAAATGTACCTAATGGCAATATTCACATGCTGAAGCTCAGCCTAGGCATAGCTTTATGAAGGATATGGCCTTTCAGACTGTTGAGGTCACAATCAAAGAAACAGCTTGCTTCATGTGGCAATGAGAAATTCACCCTGAAATTATTCTCACTAACGTTAAGTTGAACCAAGGAGTGTTACCCAGCATTACCCTATATTATCCTCCTGCTCATTTACTCAGAAAATATGACCGATATATTGAGCAAATGCAGCCAAGAAAGCCTCTTTTTTTTCCCAGGGCTTTGGGATTTTACTCAGAAACATGGTAAATGCAAGAATTTAATAAAATATAAAAACTAGTCTAGTACTTGTTGAAGTGATGCATACTACCATCTGAGTGGTTTGTAAGGCTCGGAAAAATTTTCCAGTTAACTGTTATGTAATGTACACTCATTATTTAAAAAAAAAAACAAAAACAAAAAAAAAACTTACTAAAAACTTATTCAATCTTGACATTTACTTCAATCTTGACATTTACTGAATACTTTAATATATGTTCAGACTTAATGGAGGGAAAAAGGTAGCTAAGTTCTTTTTGAAATCGTGTAGTTACTACTTACAATGTTGTCAATCTCTTTTACACGGAATTAACAAGTACGAAAACATTTACTGACTGAAAATTGTAAATTTACCTTAATAAAGTTCAGATTCCTTTAAAAACGTCAGAGCCTCAAAGAGATTGCAATGAATCATAGTGCAGGTCTGTACTAAAAAGCTTGTAATATATTCCTGATTTACAACTGACCCACATATTTTTTAATGGTATAATACTTTTATGAGTGGCTTTTACCACTACACCTGCAAGCTTCAGGATGAAAGATGCAAAAAGATCAATCTGGAGTCTGGCAACAGTAACTTTTCCATGATTTTCTGTTCACAGTGGTTCATCTTCTTTTACTTGTATAGAATGTTCTGACCATTACAAACAGGAAAAATATTTGAAGAATAAGATACTTACTCTTTGGGATATTTCTGCCTTATTCCTTTTCTCTTCTAGAACATGTGTGCCAGAGCATTGCAAGGAGTCTCTAAGATAAGATCGAATACAGTCGCACAGCTTTGTTCAAACATCAGAAATACTTATTACCTACAAGGCCAGACACAATTATGCATGCCAAAATGTTATGAATCTAATGGATCATTTAAGTCCATTAGGGTGGATTGAAGAGTCCAGATCAAGAATAATATTCAAAATGAAAGAGTATTCAGCAGATGATGTCTACTTCAATATATCTTAATTTAAAATATGCGTTTCTTATTGTTTTATTTCCTAGTTTTTGTAAAAAATTTGATAGTTTAAAAAAATGAAATTAAGATTACATTGAAATGTAATCTACTGGTTTTGTTGATTCCCCAGAATAATGGAATTTGCACTGATCTATTCCTG